ATATATATATATATTTATATCATAATAAAGTTCGAACAATATATATATTTATGTTTATATCATAATAAAGTTCGAACATAACGCGCGCTGTCATTGGTTGAAAGCTAAGCTAAAGTTGTCACGCCGTCTGCCGACTATGTCCGACCTTTTCCGGGACCTCTCTCTAGCCTTTTTCGTTAATTGAAAGTGAAATTTTGGAACAAGCGAGCCGGCAAGTAGAAACAAAAGAACCAAGCAAAGGTTTGTAAACGTGCCAGGCGCCGTAATTTACGTTATTATAAAGTGAACAGAGAATGAGAAAACGAAATGGACACTACGAGTTTTGAAGGTTAGATTGCAAGCTTGCGTGCAATAAAATAAAAATCAAACGCAACTAACACTTGTGTAGTGTATAAAGTTTCGAGATCAAAAACAAAACAGGAATGATGAAAGATATAGCCAAGCCGGCATAACTGTTAAAATTCATACTAATCATGACGGTGTCAAAACGACGGCGATCATGCTGAGGTCCAACGCGGCTAGCTCATCGGGGCGATCTCTGGCCATCGCAGTGAAGCAAGCCTCGGAAATAACATCGGCCGCCCTCCGAGTGAGCAACTAAGAGTTTGCTCCGATATCCTTTCCGATGTGTTGAGTGGAAGACCACATCAGTCACTGCAGCAGAGTTTTACGGTGCTGTTATCCCGAGCAATCTTCACGTTCCGGTGAATTCGGCTGTCGTTCATTCATAAAACACACGCTTAGAACAGTTTGTTTTCCAATTATCATATGAAAAACTTGCGTCTTTTTATGAGCCACAATTCGGCCGGATTTCACTGAATATTTCACTTACAGATTCTGTGTAAGGGCCGATAAGTTGTTAATTTAAACAAATTTTCTGTCATCACCGAAGTACAACAAGTGCGGATGGTTTGTTGCGACTCGACAAATTTTAGCCGAAGCGGACAAATCTTCGAACGCACCGCCGACAAAATTTGTCCCAGGTAGAAACTGGAAAAAGTCGTTCAGATTAACAAAATTGTGGTTATCTTGTCAATCATTTGTCAAAACAACTTTTAGCGGTATAAATTTAGCATCTCGGTTGTTTCTCGCGCGTGTTGCGAAAGTACATTTAAAATTTTCACAACAAACAAAACAAATCCCTATGATTGGAACTTAAATCCAATGGCGCACTATGCCCGTCATCCTCATGAACAGCCCAACTCTGTAAGAAGCTGGAACGTCCCACCTTTCGACGACCAGTTTAGTCATCAATATGCAACCGAGAGAATTTACGAGAGAGGAGCAATATTCCAGTCACTGTCACGTTTTCCTTCCGACGAAGTAGAAGAGATTGCTGAAAAAAAATTGAAACTATTATAATGAAATACGATATTGAAAGTGTTTACAGAATTAGAGGACTCATGTTTGTAAACTATTACAGAATGTAAACTTTGATAGTTTGACCTCTTTTGACAGCTTTAGTCTTGCACAACCAATCAGATTATTTGAACCATTCTAACAGGGATTCTGATTGGCGTATTGTAGCCTGCTCTAGGAGAGTATAGAGCACGCTGACGACACCGTGGTTCGCTTTGGATATAAAGTTTGTTTTGGAAATTGAAAGTAATCCATGGGGAATTAA